ACACATCACTGGCGTACACCCTTTCCAATTTTGAACCATGTAGTGTTGCCCTGCTCTGTTCTTATGACTGCCTCTTGGTCCAAGTACAGGTTTCACATTAGCACGATTAAATGTTCTGGGATTCCCATTCTCAATATTAATTGTTAACATTGCCAAAAATGAAATAAAATAAAAAGTTATGAACCTTAAGTTCTATTCTGAAACATAAGATCTCTTCAAGTCAGTACCAACTCTACTGGCAACTGATTTAGATAGCGATAGATGAAGAGAAGATTGAAACTGTCAATGATTTCATCCTACATATCCACAATCAACACCCTTGCTACCAGCAGTCAGGAGAACAAGAGATATATATAGCATTGGGAAAGTCTGTCATCAGGGAGCTCTCTAAAATCCTGAAGAGCAAAGATGTCACTTTAATGAGTAAAGTGTGCCTGATTCAAAACATGTTGTTGTTGTTGTGTGCCGTCAAGTCTGAAGCAACCCATAGCTCACTCTCCTGTGGGTTTTCAGAGGTAGTTAATTATTTGAGATTAAATTGCCCATCCTGGTCCTGCAGGGCAGCTGATGAATTTGAACAGTGTGGCTTCGGGATTGCAACACAGCATCTTGCCACTAGGCCAGTGCTTAATCACTTGCTGAGAGCTGGACATTAAATAATGATGACCTTATTCAATCTTATCAAACAGACATCAAAACACTTTAAGTTGTGTTGTTGGAAAGGATATTGAATATCCCATGAGCTGCCAAGAGAATACACAGATATGTCTTGGAAAAAGTACTCCTTAGAGGCAAGGATGGGGAAATTTCATCTCACAGACTTTGGACATGTTGTTAAGAGAGGTTACTCTTTGGAAAAGGACATCATGCTTGGAAAAAAGGAGAACCAGTGAAAGAGAGGACAACTTTCAACAAGATGAATTGGTATAGTGTCTGCAGCAATAAGCTCAAGTGTGTTGGGGATGATAAAGATGGCACAGGGTAGGACAGAGTTCACATCTAGGGTCACTATGACTGGTACTTAACTCATTGATACCCAACAACATTGAACAAAGGTATAAGCAATGAAGTGGGTGCCTGATGCCTTTGTAATCCGTTTGAGAATTCCAAGGGCCTAACCAGAGCCAAAGAAGAAGAAATAGATGATTTCTACCAACTTTTACAGTTGGAGATAGATCGAACATGCAATCAAGATGCATTGATAATAATGGGTG